GTTGGTAGATCGTCTTTGAATTTGTTTAAATTGACTTGTCAGTTCCATTTCGTTTAAAAAATACAAGAACACACTGCGAATCCACATATTTGATCTCTCTTTTGCACACACCTTTTAGTTGTGGGGGGGTGGGGGGGGGGAAGGTGGCTGTCAGTAATGCAAGGAATTACACCCAACGCACAAGTTCTTAGTGGCCTCGTGGTGTACACCTGTAATCCATCTACTTGTGGGCTGGTTGATGGTAATTCCGTTAGCCTCCCTCCCCCCCTCTCTCCTTCGAAGGATGTTATAGGTAACCCAATTATCTGACCTACGAACTTTCAACAAATGTAAATAGAGTTGAGTACGCATTCCCATTCGCTCGGTCTGAAAGTTATATTTTCAATTATGCTTGCATTGTGCAATTGTCATAATGCTCTTTCTCATAGTGTGAGAAGGACATGAATTATAGCTTTCTTTCTTTTTGGATTTAGAACATATTTATAAACGGAGAATTAGCTTTTTTTGCAAAATAAATAATAAAATAATTAATAGCAAACCTAGTTTTGCAATGAGGAGTGTGCAATAGACTTACCTCCACGTGGTGCACCCTGGGCAACGTATACTCATACGGCAAAACAGTCATTAACCGGTAATTGACTTCAAACTACCAAGGCCCCCCTGTATGACATATTCGACCACTTCCACAGTACTACATCACATTTTTTTCTAAATTTTCAACCTTCGTCTTTGAAACACTCTTCAGTTTCCTTCCTCTCGACTTTTTTCACTTTGGTGTTCCTTCCCCTCTGTGAAGCCTGAAGTCAACTAAAGAGTTAATGAAAATTATCAAAACGCCTGCCATTTGATATAAATAAATAAATAAGTTTCACAGTGATGTCCAAAAGGGATCTGGCACCATATGGTGGTTGAGAATCTTTTCTACTAATTAAAATTTGAGAAAGGCAAGTACAAAATTCTCCGCGTTATATCGAAGTGAAATTGGAAGACTTCGCATATGAAAAGTACAAACTTCCTTGCAGACGTCTTATCACATTGGTTTCAAATGGTTGAATCCATAAAGCTTACTTTGACTCTGGTATGAAGGCTATTGAGTGGAATCAAGATTCACTTTGAATGTTCATTTCATGAGCGCGTCTGCCATGAAAAACGTTGCCAGTTCTTTTGGCGTTAAGTTAGAAAGTTTGCATGCGGTTATCAGTCCCAATTTCAAAAGTATAATGCAGAAATTCGGTGGAAATTAGCTTCGCCTATTATAATTTTTACGCGCAATTGAAACCGTCTCCATTTTAGGTGAGAAATTGAACGTTCTTATTGGTTCTATACACGTAATCTTCCTCTTTAATGATTGGGTATGCTGGGTGTAGCAGTTGCCTCCGTCAATTTTCCACCTTGAGCCGAAAACTTGACTTAAAAAATAGTTGAGCAATATCTCTCTAACAGACATTGAGACTGACACATATTATACCAACGGGGAGTGCGATAGACTTACCTCTACGCGGTGCACCATTGGCAGCGTATACTCATACGGCAAAAAATTCTATTAACTGGCATTTGACTTCTCACTTCAAACTACCATCACCCCACTGCATGTCATATTCGACTACTTCCACAGCATTCACCTCACCTTTTATCTACCTTTGTGTCTATCTGTCTGTCACATCTGTGAATCGCTCTTCTTCCCCCCTGTCGAATTTTTTTCTCACTTTGACATTTCGCTTTCCTTCTGTGAAGCCCGAAGTCAACTAAAGGGGGCTAATGATAACTATCAAAATGCCTGCCATTTGAAATAAATAAATAAATAAACTTCTCTTAAAAAATAATTCTCGAAATACAGTCCGCCCCACTGTGTACCGATGACCTTCCCGATTTATATCCAAGTCGGTTCCCACACTCAGAAAAGTACATTAGTCATAATCTCTTAAGCACAATTTTTCAGCGTCTTCTACATTGCCTCATCTATTTGAGTAGTAGAGACTCGAAGTTTGAGCCCACAATATGAATTTGATGAAAAAAAAATTGAGTGGGAAGGTGAACTTACGCTTCTTCCACATCAAACCTCTGCATCACAACATCCTCTGTATCATCCGAAGTGGGGAGCTGTAGGTAAGGGTTGTCGTTGAAGGGTCTGAATTTGCACCCCACAGACACAAAGAACACAAGAGTGACCGACTGCTCAAAGAGCTCCACAAGCCAGGACCAAGCGAAAGGTGTGGTCATTCGGAGGAGGTAGATAATTATCCTAGTGAAGTAGATATAGCAAATGACCAGAATGTAGAAGTGGCGGAAGAGACGGAGTTTGCGTAGATTTTGAGCCACTTTGCCGTCGGATTGGGCAGCCTGGCGGAGATGGCGGATGGACCATATGACCGGGAAGAGAACACCTGCACAACAGAGCAGATCTACAACGGTGAAGATTTCATTCCAGAGGGTAAAGCGAGTTGCGCCTTGTTCCGTCTCGTTTATCACTATCGTTGCAATGTTCGCGAAGACCTGGGAGGGTACGAAGAGGAAGGAGAAATCTTAAACCACTTAACCACAAACAGATAAGGTAGAAAGTGGAACCACAAGTTACCACTCAACAATCCAGAGTCAGGTTTATGCCAGAATATGGCGTGCCCTCTGATGGAAACTTAATAGTTAATCGTTCCAATATTGTGAACGCAAAATGAAATTAAAGGCTAACTCAATTCCCAACTAGCCTCGTAAGTAGTCACCAAAAATGATTTCCCTTATTACTCATTAGGCAAATAAACTTGAACCGTTTATACTAACTAATTGCTTAAAAAAAGCCACCCATGCAAAGTAAGCAATGAAAATGCCAAATAAGACCTAATAGTTATAGAGAGACGCGTAAAGAAGCTGTACGAGTTGTGAAGGCCTCCCCGCCCCGCCCCCCCCCCCCCATTATTCCATAAAATCATGACTGGCGAGTAGCAAGACCCATGCAAGAGTACGAAAAGTCTACAAAAAGGTAGCAATTTCAAGAAATTCAACTTTCGAAAGTGCTACGAGTTCTATTATCCGCTCCAACTAAGTGAATGGGATTTTCAATTTGACCGGAAGGGAAAGTAGTTCAATTAGCTACGAAAACACGCACTCGCACCTCATTATTTACCAACAATGATAAGAGGGGGAAAATATAAAGAAGAGTCAATGCACCTTCACGAAACGAGCAATCCACACCTTGGACGGTCACACAGTCTAGTAATATGCGAGTCCATACACAGGCCCAAATACCCAAACAGGTGATCTGGACAAGTGCGGATCAACGAGCCATTTTATTAAATTAACTCTGATTAACACTGGCGTAAACCAGGGGGGGGGGCAAATGGACATTGCACAGAAAACGACGAGAAATCGGACAACTCAATACCTCCAGAAAATCTTTTTCTTCTAGCTGCAACCACATGACTAAAAATTGTGAAATTTTTGCCGCATTTGCATAGGCTTGAAGCGAAACTCACTTGAAGGGGAATGACAACGGCGAAGACCTGTTTCTCCTGGCGCGTGAAGACGTGTTTGATGAAGGTCCAACCAGCACCAATCATGAGGATTGTCACAATTAGCAAGAAACCACGCGTCCTATAAGAGAGTGAAGGTGATCAACACACCAACTTCTGCATTAGCAAACATGCATATACCAAATTGAACTTTTGAGCAATTCATCGTGAAGAAATACCTCAGAAAACTATATTGGCATGCAACGCGGGAAGCTACCTAGGAGATTTTGAGCAATTCTCAGTCTATTATTGGTCATCATTACGCAGTTAATCATTTGACCAACTAAAAAATTCGATGAACGTCCAATTCGATATCACTGCATTTTCAATCTACAAATAATCGTGTAGCAGACTAAATTGAAAACAGCCAGGACAAACCTCGTCGAGTCAAAACAGCGAGAGTGGGGTGTGTGATAGGCTGGGAAACAAAAAATTTTCTCAAAACAGGCAAATTTAGTGATTCGTCACCTGGTTACTATTATAGTGCATTTTACCAACGTCATTCATTCGAGAAACCGAACAATCCTAATCAATAGGGAACACCAATAACCACAAGGAAAAATAATCAGATTAAAAATTAAAAAATAAAACACTAAAATTTGCATAATCATTTCTTCTCCTAGTATTTGCGAAAACAAATTTAAACCCTGGGGTGTGCGATATACTTACTTCCACGTGGTGCACCCTGGGCAACGTATTCTCATACGGCAAAAAAGTCTAACTGGCAGTTGACTTCTCACTTCAAATTACCATCACCCCACTCTATGCCATATTCGACTATTTCACAGTACTCACCTCACCTTTGTTCTACCTTTGTGTCTGTATCTTTTACATCTTTGAAACACTCTTCTCTCCCTCCTCTCGACTTTTTTCAAGTTGATGTTCCTTCCCCTCTGTGAAGCCTGAAGTCAACTAAATGGCTAATGATAACCCCATCAAGACGCCTGCCATTTGATATAAAATAAAAAATTTGAGCCCCAATAAGACAGAAATCCAATTATAAATAAATGAGCGAAATTTGTTCGGTCTATGAATGGAAATGCGGAGGATGTATAAGAAAGAAAGAACTTACATATGAGCAATGTAGTACATAACGGCCCATCCTTCCTCTTGAACACCGTGTCTTCCAATGACATAGTAGTTAATCTGTTAAAAAGAAAAGATAAAAAAACATTACTGCGGGCAGAGGAATACTACCGGTGACCTCTAGTTTGAAAGGGGGCAATTGACAACTACTCGACCGAATGATAAGCGTCAAGTAGCAGTAATTCAGTAGATAATACTAAAGTGGAGTCAAACCAAATTGGGCGCGGTAAGGTATCCCGCAACAAAATCAGTAATTTTTGAGCGTCAAATCTGATTTGCATACAAGGCAGGAGAGGGATATAATTAGAATTTGCGCCGATTAAAAAATACTCGTATGACGGCATGGGAGTGTATGCAGCAAACAGCATCATAAAATAACATTATAAACAAACGGTAAAAAAAATAAAGCTGACATCTCACCACGTGGGAGGAAATGATTGGTTGCAAGTTATTGGCAAGTTATCAAGGTAGGGGAGGACACTTTCTACCCCAAAAGGAATCATATCTCACACTTGCAAACTTTCATAATTTAACAAGATTTTCCGCTTAGTTCCGTGCACGATTCATTCCCAAGCAACACCAATGCTTTTAATCTTATTGCCTGCATGCTAGTCACGATGTTTGATTACTAAATTTAAGAATAACATCGGTTGAGTATCCTAAACTAATTATACATTCTCCCAGGTTTATCTTTTTTAAGAGTTATGAGAAAATCAAGTCAGGTCCGCTCAGAGCGGTTGACCACAAGGCGTGCGCACCAGCGGGCATCGGATCGGTGACACCTGCCAGGAAACGAGAATGTTAACCACTGCGACTATCTCAATCCCATCTTATACTTGGGGATACGGGGTGTGCGATAGACTTACCTCCACGTGGTGCACCCTGGGCAATGTATACTCATACGGCAAAAAAGGCTATATACCGGCAGTTGACTTCTGACTTCAAACTGCCATGACCCCACTGTATGTCATGCTCGACTACTTCCATAGTAATCGCCTCACCTTTTTTCTACCTTTGTGTCTGTCTCTTTTACATCTTTGAAACACTCTTCTGTTCCCCCCCCCTCCCCTCTTGACTTTTTTCGATTTGATGTTCCTCTCCCTCTGTGAAGCCTGAAGTCAACTAAAGGGCTAATGATAACTATCAAAACGCGTGACATTTGATATAAATAAATAATTTGTACCGTGGATGAAAATTGCTGTGTTAGACGAATTCTTAGGATTTGTTTGTATTTGTTATAATTTCATTCTGTTAAAGCTC